TAATACGTCAACCGCGAACAAACAAGTTCCACAAAACGATAAATCGAAACAAAATTATTGAATAAAAAATTTAGACCAAGAGGCGGACCGTAAAAACAGGAAACCGAAAATAAAATTGCCGAACCAGGAGACCGATTAATTAAAATAAATTTCAAAAGGTTCGAATAAAATCAAAATTTTCCAAAAAATAATTAACAAAACCGAAAAAAAATACGACGAATTAACAGTTTAAGAACACGACCGAAAATCAAAAGTCGCGAAAACAAAACTTTTAAAATCGTTTTATGTATAAAAACCAGTTATGGCTTACTACCGACCAGTTCGCGACCACTTGGTACTCTAATGCCTATACCTCACTTTACTGCTGGGTTGTAAGTTGTCCTATACTGGCACAACAAAATGACCCTATCACGCGCGACAACAGTAGAGCCTAACCACACAAAAAAACAAAACAAAAATAATACGTACTGCCAAATAAAACGGCACAAGAAAATGTAAAAACAACGACCAATATGTAAAAATAAATATACGTATGTACTATGTAGGTATATGTATATATGTATGCAATAGATCCCACGCAAAACAAAGTGGTGCGGCCAATGTACGTATGTATGTAAATATGTTTACCACTAGTCTGGTCTTTCTTTCTTTTCTTAATTTGTTTTTACTTAAATTTTTGTTTATTAAAATGCAACCAATAGCGTACTTTATTATCCAATTTGAACAAAAGGCTGAAATTGAAGCAAAAAGCTCGCCACCACACAGAATATTAATTTAGAGCGCTTTTTTTTCAATATTAACTTTAGCTTCGTTTCTTTTTCCGCGCCCTAATCACTTAACACTACACTTATCTGTTCGTGCTCCAAATCTTCCGGCGACACACAATCCAAAAACAATGCTCCGTATAGCCCGACAAAGCTTGTCCTCCGATACGACCGTATATGTATATGTATGTACGTATTGAGAGGAAAATAAGCTCCTCAGGTATACTCCGACCGTCCGTTACGACGCCGCCCAGAGCCGCCAAGGAAAAAAAATCCTCCTTGTGTTCCTGCTGCCAAAAAAAAAAAATTAAAAAGGAAAACAAAAGATTAATATTCAAAATACCAAACCAAACTTAATACCACAGATACAAAATGCGACCCAGCCTAATGTACATGCCTAATGTATATTTGAACGCTACTAAACAAAATAGAGAGGCCCCACGTTGGGCGCCAATTTGTCACCTTACCTTCTGTTTACAAAAGCCGACCTACCTAATGTCCCAAATAAATGCACTCACCGTGCGCAACAACAATGCGTCGGGCCAAACTAGGTAAACAAATATACGCAGAAAAGGGAGATGACAAAAAAACCAAGCAACCGGCTGGCTCAGTGGAGACGGCGGGGTTGCTGGCGGGTGCACTAGTTATCACACACAATAAGTAAGGAGCTACCAACACTAGGGTGAGTCGAAAACAAGACAACAAGATTTACGACTAAGGAATCGAAACAAAACGAAACCTTGTTTTTGGGGCGCACCCGAGATGAGGTCCAACCAAAAGGTTACGCACCCACTCGCACTACCGCCCGTGCCGCCGGGGATATCTTTAACCCGCCTGCATGACTGGGCTCAGGGTGCAGGATGCTAAAAAGGATCGGAAAGGGAAACACAATAAGAGTAAGCCTGCCGACAACAATAACGCCTGAACACAGACACAACAAAAGAAGACGATACTTATCGGCGGTCGGTGGGCGTTCCGACCGCAAGGGTGCTCTTCGGGAATTTGGCTCCCAAATCCGGTGCCGACTTCACCACGCCTCGACTGGCGCTGCTCCTCGAAACTAATTGCTACTGCAACCTAAGTGCCTCGCCTGGCACTTCCCGAATTTTTGTTAAAGATAAAGCACTTCGCACTGCACAAATTTATCTAATTTTACTAGGCTACTATGTATAAAAGCACTCGCGCTCGCAATAAGGATGTTGCCTTTCTCAAAGCTCGCTTAGAACTGCCCCGGCACGCAGTCGCGAGCGAGGCCGACACCTACGCACCGGTATGCAAACCGTTGGAGTGTCAGCGCCGGTGTTGTTGGTGCCCGATCAATTGGCGCCGGCCCGATCATTCTAGAAGCGAATTGGGCGCTTTAGCGGTCGCCACCACGGCGCACACAAACAACACCATGGACTTGCCATTGCCATCATACGGCGGACAACAAAAGTGCCGCAATAGGTGAGAGCAAAGGCGACACCCCCACTAGGTCTTTCGCGTCATCTCTCATTCCTACATTCTTACCCTCGATCGGCACCGTTTTGGGGCGGAGTGCCTTAATGGAGACTTTTCCCCTTTGCGGTGGCGCTCCACCGACAAACAACTATTTCGCTCAACTTGAGCTTATTCTGCTATTTATTTAGGTAAGTACATACATATGTACACTTGAGTGTCGGCAGCCTTCACTCCTATCGGCTGGAGTGAAAGGAAATAGGTAAATAGAACGAAGGGAAAACAAATGTTTAATTTATTGCGGCCAGTACGCTACAATTTTTATGAGAGCAAAGCATTTTGGTTTGTTCTCTAATGAAATTGCTGTTAAACATATTTTTTTTCCTTCATTTTCGGTTTTTTTTTTTAAATAAAATATGAAGCAATTATCGTGTCCTCCATATTTTCCTTTTTGTGACCAGCTCAGAGCCAACTAACACATTAGTGACCGTTTTTTGAGACTAAAGGCGTGACATAGCCAATATACCAATAGTTACAACATTTAATAAATGAAATACAGATGTTTTACATATTACAATATGGGCAAAACTAAAAAATAGGTACACTTTCAAAATAAAAAATTTAATTTTTAAATTTGTGAGCACACCTATAATATATATATCGATTAATATAAGTCTAATTCATTTTCATCAAGTGCTTCAAAAGTTAGACGACGAATAAACATGAAAAAGAAAACGAAAGAATAACCTGGGTTCAAATTACGCTGTTCAAGTTTGAGCAAAGGTTTTGAAAGTTGAACTCACTTAATTGGCACGTTCTAAATTCATGGGCATGCCCCGTTTTACGCAAAACAACGTCTCTGATCAATCAGTTATATGGGAGCTAGATGTTGTAGTGAGCCGATTTCGATGATATTATGGAATAGTTAAGGTCATATTAAAAACGATTATGTGCAAAATTTTAGAAAAATATCTTTAAACCTCAGGGACTTTTTTATAAAATAGTTAAAATTTAAGCAAAGTTTCAATTACCGCTATCTCAAAAAGTGGAGCCATTAGGGTAAAACTGAGGACGCCATTGAATTTAGAAGGATCCAATTATGTAAGAATGACTTTCAGAACATTGGTCGAAAAAAAGCTGCTTTGATACCACTCTCGAAATATTCCGACTAAAATAAGGAGCATCATTAAAGGTAGTAAATCAGGGCTTTTACACACTTCTAGAGAAAAATTTTTTGAAGCATTTTCCAGGTATATGTAATTTTATAAGGACTAGCAGTTATAGAAAGATTTAGATCGTTTCGACGTATTTTCCAAATGTGCCTTCAACTAAGGTCTTTTTGAAATAAAATTACGCTCAAGATCGCAGAATAATTTAACTTTAAAAGTTAGTTTATTTTGAAAGCACACCTCTTGCTAAGGCATCAAATTTTTCGTAATTGTTTGTAGAATACAATAAATACTTAAAAAGTTCTTAAAATTAAATGCTTCAAAACCTATACGCGATAAACCGAAAATTTTTAAAATTGTGAAATGTAGAATTACAGACTTTGCCATTTCGTTATTTTTTAATGCACACTTTTCTCACCTATTACATATGAACTGTACACATAAGTGCTAAATGCCCATTTAATATCAAATCAGAATATGGTGTGCTTCAAAAGTTATGACATAATTAATTGTGCCCCTCTTAAAAATTACATAAAAAATTCCCTTGTTTTCATTATTATTTTTTAATTTAAACGCCGATATTTCAAAAGTTAAGCGGCAAATTGATCCAAATTTTTTTTGAGGCTTCAAGTAAACGTCAATGAATTATATCCATAATCAACCAGCTTGATTTAGTTTACAACAGTGAAAATAAAGCTAAATAACACAAAGGTTACCTGTTTTTTAGATTTGCCCATATACATATTTAAATACATACATACAGATGTTCTTGCCTTGCTTCCAAGCTGAGCCTGCTAATTTTGCTTCACGCTGGTCAAATCCTGTAATTTAAATTAAGAAAGTTTTAAATTATTATTTAATAACCCATAAGAATTTGTTTTTGTAAGTTACTTTTACCAAAGATTTTTTCGGTCAAAGAAGTCCACCAATGTCCCTTATATGTAGTTAGGGGTTAGAACGGCAGTATTGTTTGTATAACTTCATCGCCTTTTCTGAAGATTGAAGTAACTTATTTATCTGAACACAATTTTTCCGACAAATGATGCAAACATATGAAGTTTTTCATTATAGCAAGGTAGCTTTTTAAATTCTAATGCAAAACATTTTAATTTTAAATATTTTTCATACCTAATTACTTGTTGAAAATTGTGTCGCACTACAACTGGTTGGGAAAATATTCTAAAATGTTTCATTTAAGTTTTTAAAATACGCTTTTTTGACGCTATTTCTTTAATGTCGTTTGTTCTCCTCAGTAAAAAAGTGAATATATTATAACGATCGTTTTTGTTTTGCGAATGTTTCGTTTTAAAGTCGTAAGTACAAATACAGTAATTTTTATTTTGTATGAAGAAAAATTATATCGGAAAATTTTATTTTACAATTTCTTTTAAAAACTTGGATTTTACCTGTATCATTTTCTCTGTGTATGTATGTACCCATATGACTTGCGCACTTACTTTTGTAAGTACTTGTATTTGTAATATAAGTTTGTAAGTTCACAAAGGTAAATCTAAATAAAATGGTTCTGTGAAAATTTGCATTTCGGTTATAAAATAAATATGTACTTATATTAAAATGACCCCGTGTGACTAGGGTGTCAACGTACATATGATGTACATATAAGTACATATGTTTAAGCACATAGAGAAACTTAAAATTCCATAATATCCCACAACTTTACTAGTGAGATTTCGCATCTTTAACGAAGGTTTAACGTCGAACATGAGTGGCCAGAACAAACCTTCAACCCTGATAAAATTTTTGACTATCAAACATCACGAATAGTCTGGCATTCACTTTTCCAGCTTATTTGGCTACTTGTGACTTAATCACCTTCGAACAAGAAGGAACGAACCTAAAGCTTTTGACAAAAGCATTTACATACATATATGCACATATGTACACTGGAAGCTTGAAAAGCTTTTAGTTATTGCATGTATAAGGAAAAACCAATACGGACTTCTTTTTTCTGTGATTGTTCCACCATTGAATTATAAATACATATGAATGTAAGAAGTAAAATTAACACATTTTTAATCGAATACGAACAAAAATTCATCGAGTGTATTAAATATAAAAAGCTAAACTCAATAAAAGGTGTATTAAATCTGTATATTGGTTTTGAAATATGTGAAGAAGGGAAAATATTGATTTTGTTGATTCTTGCCTTAGTAAAATTTATCAATTCAGTAGCTCGACTTATATTTGAACGTACGTTGTTGCAAATATAAATTGCTATGGCAGCTACAGGAACTTATAACCATAGTGCATTGCTACAGAAACAAAGGTCCTTTGGGGCCAGTTACATATCAAAACCCGATGAAAGTGTACTTGTCGAAGGCAGTACCATAAATAACTCAACAAAACAAAAGGTAAAATCTGACTGTTTATTTTTGCTATAATTAGAGTGACTATACGTACTATTGGCCTACTTTGGAATCTTAAATTGCTTTGCAGTGGCGTATCCAGCGTGAGTTACTGTCTAGTGAGCTGATATTTTTACTTCTGATTTTTTTTTCTCCTAAATTCATTGTATATGGGCACCCTTTTTTGATAAAGTGATACTTACCTGCACTATTTTAAAAATAAAGGTTTTGTATTTTGTTGTTAGGGTTGCCAGACCTAAAATTCCGAAAGGGGTACAGATAAGAACAAATTGGGGGACTTGGGGTAAAACTGAGAAAGAAAAAGGGGCATTTTTCGGGGACAAACAAAACTAAATGTATTCAACAAAAAATTGATTTATTCGCTTGTGGAACAACAAAACCGTTCATAAATAAAAATTCAATATCATTTGAACAAAACAAAGTTGCACTGGCGATCAAAACTGAGTGCATGGTGATTTTATTTTAAACATTTACAATGTTTTTCAAAGTAATTTTTTTGTTGTTTTTGCGTTGCTTTTTTTCAACTTAATCTTTGTATGGAAAAAAGCAATCAGCAAAAAAGTATCAACAATCTACTCGATTTTTAGCCGCGTTAAACTTGCACTTATTTTACTAAAATTTCATGAGACATGGGTCTGTATATCCAAGAATTCAGATAAAAAGTTCAAAATTTTGATAAAAATTTGTTGCGTTTTTCTAAAATTTGTATTAAGTTTGCAAGTTTGATTGATGTATGTATTTGGTTTTGTTTAAAGCATGAAAAATATTTTTATAAAAAATTACAAAAAAATTTATTTGAAAGACATTGTAGATATTTGAAAAAATCACCATGCACTCAGTTTTTATCGCCAGTGTATGTATATAAAAAAATATATGTACATACTTACATATTTAGCCTTAAATATGGCATACGATTATTTTCAAATAAAAATTATACTTTTCGTTCAAATTTGATTCAACTAAGCGCCTGTGAAAGTTGAACAATACAAACATGCTTTAAGCCGAAAGTGGAGGATTACGGGCAAAAATGGGGACCTACGCAACCTTACGTAGCAAGGGGGGACCAAAAGTCAAAATGTTGTATGCATGTATATGTTGGTATATTTTTGACATATTCTACAAGAGGAGAGTTGAAAGAGACTATTTCCTTTTAACGCACTTACACTCTCTCAGCATATAAGTTGTGCACACTTTCTTTCTTCAATCCCAAAGAGATTTGAAGGCAAAGAAAAAATTGGAATAAAATGCCAGTATTAAAAATATTGAGTAAAACGTTTATATCTTTATAGACTTCATAACAATCGTGTACATGATATATTTGCTTGTTCAGCACATACTTGGGTTGTTTAGCATACTTTGGTTACGCTTTTATGCATTTTTTATTTTGCAACTGTTTGAAGGTGCCCATTACATTTCAGGTGCATTTTTTTCTCTATAAAATTAAATAAACGTTTTCGCTCAGTTTAAAGAAACTTGCGCCTTTTCAGCACCTCAAAATGGGACTTAAAGCTAAGGAAATTTGAAAAAATAGCCCATTAAAAATAAACTGAAAAATGTTAATAACTTTTTTAAACAATCGCCTAAACCAATTATTAAAAAAAAATCTAATAAATGTCATTAGGTGGACGTGCAAATTTGCATTCTTATTCTTCTCTTCTTATTTGGCGCTCTAACCGCCTAAGCAATTTTTGCCGAGTTCAGCAAAGCACGCCAGTCGCTTCTCTCCTGCGCCAACTGACTAATTGGAAATGCCAAGTGAAGCCATGTCCTTCTGCACTTGGTATTTGCATGGCAGTGGGGGCCCCCCTCCTCTTATGCTACCACTAGCCGGTCCCGAGTTGAATACCTTCAGAGCTGGAGCGTCTGTGTCCATTCGAACGAAATGGCCAACGGCGCCACTGTATTTTAATTCGCTACACTATGTTTATGACGTCATAAAGGTAATACAGCTCGTCGTTTGCGGTACTTGCCGACGCCAACGCTTAACGGCCCGTAAATCTTCCACAAAATCATTTTCTCGAATACTCCAAGAGCCGCCGAATCGGATGTCATTGTCCGCGCCATATACCAGCACGGGCATGATTAGTAACTTAGCGAGTGAGGTTTTCGTACAGCGAGAGAGGAATTGCCTACCCAATCCAAAGTAACACTTGTTGGCAAGAGTGATTCTAAGTTAAATTTCCAGGGTGATATTTTTATCGGGGTTGATGCTGGTTGTCAAGTATACGAAATTCTCTATCTTCTCGAAATTATAACTGTCAACAGTAACGTAGGTGCCAAGCCGTGAAAGCGCTGAGCGTTTGTTTGGTGACAGGAGAAACTTCGTCTAGTTCTCGTTTACCAGCAAACCCATTCGCTTTGCTTCCGTATCTTGGAACTTGGGAAAGGCAGAACAGAATTGTTCCGGAGAGGTTCAGTTCTGCGGCTTTTAGCTTCTCCATCATCAGAATAAAGAAATCACACGAAACCCAGTTTGAAAGCAAATTGGTCAGAGAGGTCTTTGCAAATTCTGACGGAGCTTTGGTATTGCTCAACGTCATTTTACACAACCTATCAGTTTCGCGAGGATACCAAATTCAGACATCGTGGCGTACTAACAACTCATTTTAGTGCTGTCGAAAGCGGCTTTGCAGTCGACAGATAGATGGTGACCTTGTAACCTATGCTTATAAGGCTAATCCCGTGGTAGTTGGCGCATATGGCGGTATCGCCTCTCTTGTGGATTGGGCTGACCACACTTAAATTCCAGTCGTCGGTCATGCGATTATCTGCCCATAAGAGTTGATGTTGTGAGTTATCATCTCCTCGCCCCGTACAGTGTGTAATTTGGGCGATTTAGGAGAAGGAACATCATAGCGCCTAAAATTTTTACTGTATAAATCCTTTGTTTCTTTATGTACTTTTAATATACTGTAGTATAATTGCGGTTGCAAAGGATGCAAGTGATTTCAGGTGTATAATATTTTATATGGGCATTTCCTGGGGAAGGTATTTATAGTAAAAAATTTAAAGTGATATATTTATCTGTCACTGGTACTTCAGTAAACTAGTGTTTTTATTACATTTAAACTAAATATGTCAATGAATTCGTCTTATTATTACATTAGAATTTTGTATATCAGGACAGCACACTTTACAGCTTGAGAGCACTCGCACGACTGTCAATTCCTTTTTCACCCTTCTCTTTCTCGGTGTTGGCCGGGGTTGCCATATCAGTTGACAGCTCGGCCCTTCCTGATGTAGGCATCGTCCCTATGCCTGCAACTTCATCATCGTCATTGGAGTAATCACTTTCACTGGCATCGTCCAACTCAGGAGGCATATCACACCAGTGCTTAATTTTGTCGGCAGCATAAATGGATTCGAACATTCTTTGGCTTATTTGCGTGCCGTCGTACTTTAGCCACCACATATTGCCCTCGGAATTTGGGTTCAAGTTTGCGTTATTCCCCGCGTGCGGACGGTTCATTGAGGTTCACGACCAAATGTTCGACACTGTAGATAGTGGGCGCTTCGCTTTTTTTTATCGAAGCGCTCTTTCCACTTGTCTCGATGTGCAATCAGATGATTATGCGTAATATTATTTAGTTTCAAGTCGAATATGAGTTCTTTGGGGGAAAACCCAGTAGTCGAATTCTTTTGCGAGTTAATCGACCACTGTAGCATACGCAGCTGTTCGCACCACTCTGGATTCGATGTTGACGTACGTAGAAAGTTTAAGATCATTTGGTTCGCTCGCTTCACCGGCCCATTAGCTCGTGAAGTTCGGACAGCAGTCTTAATATGAACGAAGTTATTGTCACTGCAATATTTAATGAATTGCTCGGTCGTAAACGCTGTGCCGCAGTCCGTAACATCTCGAGCGGGAAGACCAATATAGGCCGAAACCTCATTCAACGCTTGAATAACAGGTAACGTTTTGGTGCTACGCACTGGTTTTTTAATTAATTAATTTATGCCAACGGCTTTTTACCCTCCATTTCCTCCCAACCGACACGAGGGGCGCAGTCCGCATGACGTACGGATTTTTATTTTTTTTTGAAGTGAAACTTATTAGGCGGTGGTATCGCAAAAATGGAGAGTGAAATTTTTAAAACTGAAAACGTTACATGAGTGAGAAGGAAGATATAGGTAGTATAGGGAAGGGGAAAAAATAAATAAAGCAACGCATGACGGGTACGAGTACCTACATATGTATATATGTATGTTTGAATGCACGGATGCGAATGCGGATGCGGATGTTTAACAGCTAACATCCGCGGATGCGAATGCGAATGCGGATGTCAAGTATTTTTAAGAAATAACCCGGTAAGCAAACTAAGTTATTTAGGTAAATAAAAAAATTTAATTGGTAGTAATTTTTAATAATGTTTATTTTACTTATTACTTGAATTTAAAAATTGAAAATTTTATTTATATATTTATTGCAAATTTAGGATGTATCCTCCTGACTTTCATGTTCACTTGAACAATCTAGCATAATGGTGAGATCGTTGTTTAAACAGCGCTTACAAACCAACTCAGATGTGTCAGGTTTTTCTGAAGCTTTTTTAAAAGAATTCTTCATCCTCATTCCTTTAGCAGTTTCATAATTTAGGGAACTTGCAACGTCATCAGCGTTTTTCGATTTTGGTTTTTTAAATTCATTTTTAATGGGTCTTCTGCGACTGGTTTGAAGAATTTATGCTTATAGCGAGCTAGATAGATGGACATGGAAAATAAATTATTATTTTCCAGGAATGAAAATTTTGAACAAAATTGAGTAGTCCACTTGCAAACAGCGTAATGTGATTTTAATAATAGTAAGCCATAAATGAAAAAAAAACGTCTACAACAACAAGTAAAATCCAAATTGTATCCTTTTTATTATTATCTGAAAGTTTTGATAAATAAAAGCTTAGTAGCATTAAAAAACCAAATCGCAGAATGGTAGTTTGTGCAAATTTTATATACAAACAAGTAAGAGCAGCGCTGTCTTCGGCTAT